AAAAAGTTAGTAAAATTTTTAAACAAGAAGGTTTTAGAATAGCTTTTAGAAGTACGGGTTCACTTAAAAACATCCTCTCAAAACCTAAAGACAAAGTAGACAAGTTGGCAAAAAGCGGGTTTACCAACTCAATTGTAATGATTGTGATATTAAATATATAGGACAAAGCGGTAGAGAAATAAAAACAAGAGTAAAAGAACACTTGCCTAAATCGAGCAAATTTTCGGAATTTAAGGACCATCTAAAAGAAACAAAACAAAATTTCAATTCAAATCTAAATACAAGAGGGTTACATAGTTTCAACAAAGGGAAAGAATTAGATTGGTTTGAGAAATTTGAAATTGAAAAATGTAAAATTGAACATGGTGGATAAATGCATTAATAATATAACAGATTTTGATCTACCTCCCACTTTAAATATGTACATAAATAATATCAAACATCCAAATAATTGAACTAATTATTTTAATTGTTATTATTTTTATAGTAATTTAATAATATTAAGTATTTACTAGTATAATATTTATTTGTGTTATAATTTCCGCGTTTCGCACGTTCAAATTGAGCGCCATTAAAAAAATCAGCTGATAATTGGAACGTCGCGTTGGCGGAGGTATCAGCGGTTTCACTTTGGCAATTCATGTCGAGAGACGTGGTTGTGGAAGTCCTTCAAACTGATGATGAGCTAAAAGGCTCGAAATCCGTATCGTTGCAAAAAACTTACTGTGAGTAGGAACTATCTTTTTAAAAAGGATAACATGGTTAGTCATGAGCGGGGAAGACACTCGAGTACACAGTGGGGACGACCATTGTTTCAAATAGCTAGGATTATCGTCAGTAGAAATCAAGACGTAAAGGATGTTTAGGTCATGGTGTAAGGATTCGATTCAATGGGAATTGGAAGCTTTCGACGAACCGAATATGTATTTGCATATAGTATGTACATGTCAGTTTGAGTATAATAGAATGGTGAAGATTCGTCTCTTTGTTATTGGGGCGTAGTAATAGTTTGCAGAAGTTGTTGATATCTATTGAGTTATTTTCTTTTGGATTCTAGATGATCGTAGTTTAAGTAGTCTCGGTGAATACTATTGTTATAATAGCATTTATTTTCATAAACCTTCATCCACCATCTTTGTACCCACGGTGGTGATACTTTAGGGGATGAACAGCAAGTTCTTTTAGAGAAGACGGGATTGCAGTATCGTCGGAAAGTTTCAACAGGAATGTGTAGGGATAATTAGTTATGTCGGCAGGGTGTCAAGTTACTGGTCCCCTGTTTTATCAAAAATCACTAGAACCATTTTTTTAAACTGTATTAACAATTTATTGAAATGGCTAAAACCATTTGAAAATCAGTTAAAATAAGTCAGATATAAAGGGTTTCGGTAGTTCCCCCAGGGCTTTCTCAAAAACTACTCAATATAGAAAAAAAAACCGTTATTTTTTTATAAAATTCACTAATTTCGTGGTCCGCTTGACCAATTAATATATTATAATTAATTAAGGTTTTTAGTTGAGATAAAAAAGTCAATGGCACGAGCGGGACTCGAACCCACGAAGCGGCATATCAAGCCGAAGATCGTGGGTTCGAGTCCCGCTCGTGCCATTGACATTTTTATCTCAACTAAAAACCTTAATTAATTGTTATTTTTTATCATAAACCCTGCTTTATGAACATAACAATTACGTTTACTTTTACATTTTTTTTTACAAAGGTTAACAAAATAATTATTTGGGGATCGTGAGATGCGGTTTGGAGTGACGTAGGTTTTAGAAAAACATTTTCTTTATTTTGCGAACGTTTCGATCTTTATTGAGATCATCTTCAGGGCCTGGGAGTTTATGAACATTATTTAAATTATACAAATACATGTAGGATGTGGAAAAAATGAATTTATACACTGCTAGAAATTTTAGAATCAATCTAAGTATTTGTACTCACTCAAAATGTTTGTTTTCTGTGTAGATGTGTCATTATTGGGTAGATTTACTAATTATCCACGTCTGAAAAGATAATCAGGCCGAACCATTACCCATTCTTTCCCATTGTCGGCTCCTTTCACTTCAAAGAAGCCGGATCCTCATATAAAAATGTTTTCTGTCCCAACTTCCTTTCCCACCCCTTCAATATCCAACATATATAAACATAAAACATAAATATTTCACTGGCACTCTCAACACGACACACAAGAATGACACATCTACATAGAAAACAAACTTTGAGTGAGTACAAATGCTTTGATTGAGTCTAAAATTTCTAGCATTGTATAAATGTACTTTTTCCATATCCTACATGTATTTGTATAATTTAAACAATGTTTATAAATCCCTGGCTCTGAAGATGATCTCTATACAGATCGAAACGTTGGCAAGAAAATGAAAATGTTTTTCTTAAACCTACATCATACCAGACCACATCTCACGATCTCAATTAACTAACGGTCACTAAACTCCACACAATTAACAAAACATATCTTTTTTACTTGTATTCAAAAGTTATTAAAGTGTATGAAAAATGGCCAAAACCATTTGAAAATCGGTTTAAAAAAGTCAGATATACAGGGTTTCGAAAGTCCCCCCATGGTTTCTCAAATACTACTCATTATAGAAATAAAAACCGGCTATTTCTTTATCATAAACCCTGATTTATAAACAATGCAACAATTACGTTTAGTTTTACTTTATTTTAGAAAGGTTAATAAAATATATTTCGAAATGTAACCTTTATTTTTATGTACACATTCCTCGGGTTTATTAAATTTTATGAAAAATAGCTAAAACCATTTGAAAAAAGGTTCATAAAACGCTGGATATACAGGTTTTCAACTTACAATTCCTTTCGTAGTTTTCTCAAAAACTACTCAGCGCAGAAAAAAACTTTATTTTATTTTATTTTTATTTTGCTTAGCACTGTTTGAAACGATGCAAAAGTGACGTTTGCTTTTATTTTATTTTTTAGAAAAGTTTAAAAAATTTAGGCTTTTATTTTGAAATGGTAAACTAAATTTTCATTTGCAGATTCACCAACGATGTTTCAACTTAAATTGAAAACTATAATTTCATTTTACTTATTATTCATTTAACTTAGTTGAGAAATTTCAAAAAAACTGTATTTATTACAGTATGTAAAAATAGAGTTTATGCTAAGAAAATTGGGTCTGATGTCTGAATCGAGTTGATGTATCAGAAAATGACAACCATTTGAAAACCAGAAATTTGTTGTTTATCACATATTTAAGAAATTGAAGAAACCATAAAATTATTGCAATATTTGAAAGTTGAACTTGCTGGAAACTATTTAAATTTTTTATTAGGTATAATATTTGAGAATTTTTTGTAGAAAACTAGATTATTTAGGGAGCACTTAAGCGAGTTAAAATCCTATATATCTAACTCGTTTTCCATCAAATCGAATTCACTTTATTAATCAGCAAATGAAAATGTAGACTACTATTTGAAAAACAAAAATTTGATCTCTTAATTTTTTTAAGAAATGAAAACAACTGTAAATATCAGTGTTTAAAAGAATAGCTTAGATTACACAAAAGTATTATGTAAATTAACTTCTTTGTTAGTTATTCAGATATCGTGAGATGCGGTCGGGTGTGATGTAGGTTTCAGAAAAACACTTCCTTTATCGTGCCAAAGTTTCGATCTTTTATTGAGATCATCTTCAGGGCCTGGGATTTACAAACAATGTTTACATTTAACAATTACATTTAGGATGTGGAAAAGTGAGTTTATACAGTGCAAAATATATTTTATATTCAAACAAAGTACTTCTACTCACTCAAAGTGTTTGTCTTCTGTGTAATTGTGCCATCCTTGCGTGTCGTATTGAGAGTGCCAGCGAGATTTTGCTGTTTTATGTTTATATATGTTTGGTGTTGAAGGGGTGGGGAAGGAAGTCGGTATATAAAAGACAATTTTGTGTAAGGCGTCGGCTTCTTTGAAGTGAAATAAGCCGACAAAGGGGAAACAATATGTTGGTAATAGTTCGGCCAGATTGTCCTTTCAGGATTATATAAAAAGGGGATAAATAGGAAAAGGAAAGCTAAATTGTTGGAAAATTAGACTATGTGAAATGTATTTGATGTGTGGAGTGTAATGTACTGATATATGTATGTTATCTATATTGTATTTGGTTAATGATATTGGCGTAGCTGCGACTGAGTTTACATGTATCTGTTCTGTAATTGATGCTGTGTTTATCTCTGTTGATATAAACCATTTCTAAGAAATTACGTTTATATTTGTTTTGTTCTGTATGTAATATTTTTGGATTTTTGAAGTCAAAATTGTGTTGGTGTTCAAAGTGGTGGGTAGCGAGTGCTGTAGGATTTTGCTTGGGTTTTTTGCAATCATAGATATGTTGCTTTACTCTCTTGTCTAGATATTGGGATGTAAGACCGATGTAAGTTGCCGGACAGTTTAAACAGTTGATCTTGTAGATTACGTCAGATTTATTTGTTATTGGTGTGGGATCTTTAACTTTGGAAAAAAGTGTTTGGATTGTTTTATAATTTTTGAAAGCTATTTTGAAGTTATCGGACGAGAGAAATGTGTTTAATTTGTGTGATAGGCCTTGAATAAATGGTATGGAAATGTATGCTTGTTTGTTTGTATTTGATATATTTAATGTAGTATTATTAGTAATAGTGGAATGTATTAGTGTTGTGTTGTAGTTGTTGATTATTCTGTTAATTATGTGCTTAGGGTAGAGATTGTTATGGAGGATCTGTTTGTATATCTTTATGTTCTTGTGGAGAAATGATTCATGGCTCAGGGTAATCATTCTGTGAAGTAACCCTTTGGCCGTGTTTATTATTGTATGAAGAGGATGGTGAGATTTAAAGTTGAGGTAGCGATCTGTGTTTCTTGGGTTTTGGTACCAATTTGTGATTAATGTGCCATCTGGTTGTTTTATTACAAGTGTATCTAAAAATGGTATTGTTTTGTTGTTTTCGATTTCATGTGTAAATTGTAGGCGTGGGTGAAAGCTTCGTATTTCACTGTGCGTCCAGTGGCTTAGTCAGTTGTCTGCTGCGGTAAGTTTGTACAGATTTTGTTTCGTCTTTATATTCGTTTAGGGCGACATTTATTATACATTCTGAACGATTGATCTTTTGTTTAAATAAACTCAGTCGTGTTTTTTACCTATGTTTTACTCGTTAAAGGCATTAATGATTGTATAAATGTAAACAATTTAGCAATAAATCAATAATTTTTTTTCTAATTGAAGCTATATATTAAAAGGCAAAAAATTAAGTATATGTAAAATAAGTAAATAATAATATAAATAAAATAATAATAGGTATTATTAAAAACAAAGAAGAAACTTTGTAATTTTAACCAATAGTTTCGCGCGCGTACAATAAACTCAAATATAACACCGCTGAAAAATGCTTAAAATATACAATCATCTTTAAATATTTTCCTTACTTGCTACCAAGTGCTTCAATATTCATCATTTGACCAATTAAAAAAAGAAATAATATATTTAAAAATCATACTTTTCTTACCGATGTTACCGACACGTTATGGTATTGGATAAATGGTTTGGTCACTTGTTCCAGGCTTCCAGCTCCCCTTAAAAAAAAAGTTTTCATTAAAACCTTTTTATCTCATATAAAAACTGAAGAAACTTCATTTTAACTGTTATGTTCGGATTTGTAATGGATATTTGACTGACAATTTCGCCAACGTACAAGTCACCAAGCGCATTTTAATAATTCATTTAGCACGATGTAGAACAATATAAAATGAGTATACCTTGCGGACAGAGAGATGCCATCATCTTCTTTTACACCAAGAGAAACTGTTATAAAAACACACAATAAAACCAAGTGTTTCATCTAGAAAATATCAATTTGGTTCATTATTTGGTTTATTAAAAAAAAAGACTGACTTTATATTAAAAATACTTTGTACATCGGCACGTCTAAGATGGATGTTCACTGCCGAATAAAATCCGGCAACTGGACAATCGTCCACCACAAACGAGCTATGACAAAGCGAATTTTGGAGGGGATTGTTCACTCTCTTTGAGTAAAATTTCTATGATGATTAAAAATAGACTGAGCATTTATCAAAATACAATTAAGGCCATGGGGTACGCTGAAAAAATCAAATTACTCATAAGTGAAGCATTTGCCCATTGTGTGCGTCACTTCGGAAAAATTTCTTACCGTATTTACATACGAATGCAAAAGTTTTGATAAAAAAATTATGGGTGAAGAAACAATCCTCCAACAATACATTCAACATAAAACTATAAAACCTAGAATCAAGTAAGTAATGCGTTTTTAAATTTTCATTCTTCACATCCGTATAATCAAAAAATAAAGGTACTAAGCAATTTTGTATAAAGGGTTTTATACATAAAATACATTGAGTTTAAAAAACCTATGTATCGTTTATGTATAGTTTCAGTAGTTATCAACATATTTTCTATTAATCTCCAGCTACATTTTCACTCAGTTGTTTTATTATATTTAGCTAGGTGATTTATTGAACCCGAACAAATTAACTTTTTTATTCCTGGCTTTACTTTTTTGAAATTCAATTTTATACTTTGATAGTAAGTTAGATTGTTCGTTAAAGCACGTGTAACAAGCAAAGTATGTAAGTAATTATTAAATTAAAACCTAAGTCATGTTAACGTTATTTCTATTGTATCGCGATGATTCTGGCTGTACTTGTGATATCCAAAAACGTTTCATTGATATGCTGTCATTTGTTGAATCACACGAACCTTATTTAAAATATAAAAATTACTTGGGTTTACTAGATAAAAAAATTATGTCTGACTAGTTCTAAAGGAGAATATATCAAAGGAGAAGCTAATATAAATTGAAACGTTTAGAAATATAAAAGTTATCTCAGCAGCCTGGAAAAACTATAACTATTCAGATTAAAATGAAGCGTTATTATATGAAATTGAAATGGAATTCAGTAAAAGGAGAGTGGAAAAACCGTTGAGCTCGAAGAAATAGAAATAAACTTGCTAAACTGTGGTAGGTAAAGACAGACGTCCATGTCTACGGAGAACGGTTCTAAGAAGGAAAATGCCATACTGGCAAGACTACGCATAGGTCATACAAGAATAACGCACGGGGGGGGGGGTAGGTGCCCGTTAGTAGTACGTTTTTACAGAATATTACACATTGACTTATACTACGCTCAGAAATATATATTTTTAAATTTTACAATAAAAATGTAAATAATGTAAAGTTTAATCTTATGATTCTTCTTTCTTGAAGGTAGGATAATAGGTCATCTCAAAAAACCACAACCAGTTTTTATCCACAACGTTTCGGATTTATTTAAATCCTTACTCAGGTGAGTTAACGCCTGTACACATAACAAATATTTTTTTAATTTTTATTTATTTATTTTTTTTTTATTTTTTTAAAAATTTTTTTTATTTTTTTTATTTTTATTTATTTATTTATTTTTTTAATTTTTAATTTTTTTTACATAAATGACACATGATATAAACACATTTTCACATGATATAAAAATGTTTAAAAAAATTGTTCTTTGTACAGGCGTTAACTCAAGTGAGGAAGGATTAAAATAAATCCGAAACGTTGTGGATAAAAACTGGTTGTGGTTTTTGAGATGACCTATTATCCCACCTTCAAGATGGAAGAATCATAAGATTAACTGTTGAGGTCGAAATATAACAAAACATCGTTACTGTAAAGTTTAATCTATGTAATTCATAGTCACATAAAATGTAGTGTGGTTCTTGTAATGTATGTTTGTTCAGTGTATGCGTGGTGAAATTATTGTAAAGTATGAATTTAAATGTGTGAGATGTGAAATAAAAATACTACGTTTTATGTGATTATGAATTACTTGAATTAAACTTCGTATTAACTATGTTTATACGTACTTTATATTGAACAAAAGATTTTTTTTCCAATCAACATACGTTGGTAATTTATCCGGGCCTTGAAGATGACCCGAATAAAGGACGAAACGTCAACAATAAAATGAAAAAGGAGTTTATCTGAAATACACCTAACCTGACCGCTCCTCACTACTTCAACCTGTCCAAGCCCCTAGAAAAGTTAGTCCTCCAGGCACCTTGAACAGTCCCATCTTTTCAATTCCCTCCAATCTGGTTTCCGCCATGGTTATTCCACTAAATCAGAGCTAATAAAAATTACCAGTGACCTCCACTTCGCAATGGACCAACGGAAAGTTACTATCCTTGTCCTCCTTGATTTTTCCAAAGCCAGCAATTCTGTCCCTCACTCTTACCTCCTCTCTAAACTCGAAACTTCTTCATTCTCCAACAGCAAACCACACCAAACGTTGGTTCCACTCCTACGTTACCAACCGCCACCAAGCTGTCTCCCTTTCCAATGGCCTTACCTATTCCTTCTTCCCATTAAAATCTTGTTCCCCAAGGCTCTAGCATCTCTTCTATCCTTTTCAATTTATATTAACGACCTGCCCGACTCCATCCGGTCCTGTAAGCCGATGACTTCAAAATATACGTATCTTTCCACCCTTCTGATCTTCACTCGGCCATTATCAAGATCCAAAAAGATCTAAACTCCATCAACGAATAGACCACACAAAAAGTTCTCAATCTGTCCAAATTCACCGCTATAATTACTGAATCAAGGCAACTCCTCAATTCCTTTCCTAGCATCCCACCTGTCACCCATCATCCCATTCCCTTCTACTCCTCGGTTAAAAATCTAGGAGTGGTCTTTTACCAAAACCTTTCATGGCATCATCACATTTCCCAAATTTCCCGCAATTGTATCGCCTTCCTCAGCCTATTTCGTCGGTCCTGGCTTCTGTTACCTTTCTCCACCCGCAAACTCCTTGTATGTTCCCTTATACTTCCCATCTTCGATTACAGCTGTGTGGCATACGGTGGTCTCTTGGAGGGGGGACAACGCGCGATTGAAGCGTATTATGAATTGTTGCGTAAGATTCGTGTTCGGCACCCCACGGTGGTCCCGGGTGTCGGGGCTGTATTCCCAACTTGCCTGGCTCTACTTCTCCTCCCGTGCACAGAATTTCCGAGGTTGCTTTCTTTTCTAGTCCATCCACATTCGTCGTCCTCCTTACATCACCCAATCCCTCCAATTCAACTCCTCACATCACACTCGTATTACCAGCTAATCCCCAATTGACCTTATCAACGCACGCAACATACAACCCGTACCTTCCAAAGATCCTTTCTGACCCGAGCCCCCAAACTCTGGATCACCCTTTCTATTCGTCATGCTGCCTCCTTTTTCTCCTTTAAATTCCACTTGTATAATCACTTCCTCTCCCTCCAAACAGACACTTTACGTTAATCCTTGTTATTTTTTCTTAAGGCTTGCCTTCCTTGTATACATTGTGCCAAGATTTTTATTTCCTTTTATTTTTAATTTCATAGAAAGTGCTTCCTTTATTTCATGTATATTATTGTTAGGGGACACCAGTCCCAGAATAAAGTTATTTTTCATCTTCTTATTTTTATAATGTGTAATTCCATTAAAAACGATATTAGAATTGTTTTACGGCTAAGAAACCAATAAATGCTTTGTCTAAGTTTGTAGTTTTCGTACAGTAAGTCTTAATTTAATTAAAATAAGGCCGGTTTGTATTGTTGAAAAGTAGATATTTCATTTTTTTTTTCTTCTCACTTATTATTAGACGAAAATTGTTAGGCTTGATGGGCTGTAAAGTTATTTTGTAATAAGGCTTTTTTCCTGACAGCTGAGACAGTCTCTCTCAACATAAGTACAAGTTAAAATAAACAAAAAACACCCCTAACTTTGTTCGACTGGAATATGTCACTGCTGCCATAGGAAAATGCTATTGCTTAGTATTTGAGTTTGCTTGAATTGTCAGAGATGTAAATAGCGTCTTGCGCCACCAGAATTATTTCCTTGATTCTTTACCATTTAACAAGAGGTTTTTTCCCTTGGAATGAAAATGGCTATTATTTTGATGAGTAAAATTAGTCTAATACTTTTTAAAAAGGATAGGTCCTACTCACAGTAAGTTTAATTTCAAACATTGGGAATTGAACCATTTGATTTGTTAATCTTTGAGCATGAGATTCTCAATTTATAATAAAGATTTAAAAGTACTTGTTTATTAACAGATTTTAAGTAATTGGATGTGATGTTATTGATTGTGTTATAATCCATTACTGCTTTGACTAGCAAATTAATAGAAATGATAAATGATGGAGTGAGTGTGGTGCTCAATACTTTTTAAAAAGGATAGTTCCTACTCACAGTAAGTCTTACTGTGAGTAGGAACTATCCTTTTTAAAAAGTATTGAACACCACACTCACTCCATCATTTATCATTTCTATAAATTAGTCTAAGTCTGTTATTTTAGCTGTTGTGCAAAATGGACTTCTTTTTTTGGAAAACCCCCTATAATCAATTTGCCGTTGAATAAGCTAGAATGGTTCGACAGTAGATTGACTCGGTTTTAATTTTGTCGGCCGGTGAGCACGGGTGAGAAGAGCATTCTAAGGGTTTCTTTCTTTATGAAACTGGAGTTTTGTATTTGAGTGGCCGGGTCAATTTCATCAAACGAAGATTAATATGAAGTAAGAAACGGCTATATTTTTTTTATACCATCGGGAAAGAAACGCGACCTTATTTCGGCATTATTCCGTGCCGTGTGATATATTCAAATATACGAGGCGCTATTGATTTCACGTATTCGGATATTCTATGTATAAATAATTGGCTAACTAGTTTGAAAACCGAACCTGAACGAATTATAAGACCGACGTGGATGATTTTTAAGGGGTGTGAGTTGAAAAATAAATCCATAAGTTATGAAATTTCTTTTTTTTAAATTGAAGGTCTTGGTTAAAAAAGGAGATAATTGAACATTTAATTTAATGAAAAATGAAAATTTAATTGGTATCAATTTAATAAAATCTAGCTTTAAACAACAACCATCAGTTACTCAATTAATTGATCTCTCTACTACTGCAGATAAACTTCAATATCTTCATGAAAAGATGAATTATTGATTTTCACTTTTTTAGATTGGAAAAGACATTCAAAACGTGTGACAAAATAGTGCATTATTTTTTGTAATTATCACCAGGTCTTAACGCCACAACTTATTGAAATTCTATTAACACCATCAGATTCCCCTGAAAAATTACCATTGGAACCACACATAGTTTTACAATACGAAAATAAAAGGCCAAGTTTTTTGTAAAAACTAACACGGTAATTATTAAAACCCTGGAAAAGTTTAGCGTTGGTGGTGATGTATATATATATACATTTTAGCATTTTAGAATATCGACTTGGAATACGTATAAAAGCAGTAACAGACACGCTCAAATGCTGGATGAAAAAACAAGCAACGGATGGTAACTATTTATACATAAAATAATAAAATTATAAACCTACTCCTGAACCCTTATTTTTCTTACAAAATTGGTGGTGGCACTGTATATGATTATTATTTTTTTCCTCATTGTCAATAAACCTATTCTCATAAACCTTTATTTTTATAATAAATTTGGTGGAGGTCCTGGTAATAATGTAATAATAAAAAACCTACCCTCCTCAACCACTATTTTTACTCACATTATTAACCTTAGAAATGATAAATGATGGAGTGAGTGTGCTGTTCAATACTTTTTAAAGGATAGTTCCTACTCACAGTAAGTTGTTTTGCTACGATCCGGATTTCGATCCTTTTAGCTCATTATCAGGTTGAAGGACTTCTACAACCACGTCTCTCGACATGAATTGCCANTAAAAGAATAAAAAATTAACTTTAAACGAATCAACAATAGGACTCAGCCACCCCATCACAAATGAATCATTAGGTTTCTGTTGTTTGCTATACATTGGTGAATTATCGGAAGAAGTTAGTAAAATGTTTAAACAAGAAGGTTTTAGAATAGCTTTTAGAAGTACGGGTTCACTTAAAAACATCCTCTCAAAACCTAAAGGCAAAGTAGACAACATGGCAAAAAGCGGGGTTTACCATCTCAATTGTAATGATTGTGGTATTAAATATATAGGACAAAGCGGTAGAGAAATAAAAACAAAAGTAAAAGAACACTTGCCTAAATCGAGAAAATTTTCGGAATTTAAGGGCCATCTAAAAGAAACAAAACATAATTTTAATTCAAATTTAAATACAAGAGGGTTACATAGTTTCAACAAAGGGAAAGAGATTGGTTTGAGAAATTTGAAATTAAAAAATGTAAAATTGAACATGGTGATAAATGCATTAATAATATAACAGATTTTGATCTAACTCCAATTTTAAATATGTACATAAATAATATCAAACATCCAAACAATTAAACTAATTATTTTAATTGTTATTATTTTTATAGTAATTTATAGTAATATTAAGTATTTATTATTCTAATATTTATTTGTGTTATAATTTCCGCGTTTCGCACGTTCAAATTGAGCGTCATTAAAAATATCAGCTGATAATTGGAACGTCGCATTGGCGGAGGTATCAGCGGTTTCACTTTGGCAATTCATGTCGAGAGACGTGCTTGTGGAAGTCCATCAGGTTGAAGATGATGAGCTAAAAGGCTCGAAATCCGTATCGTTGCAAAACAACTTACTGTGAGTAGGAATTATCCTTTAAAAAGTATTATTAACCTTACCTTGCTGAAATCTTCAAACCAAATGAAAACATCAATGGCAGCTTACTTGAAGTAGCCACAAGAAGAAAATATAAAGCTAGTCTTACCTAAAGAACTAGGACAAGAAATTAAAAATTTACCTGCTAAAAAGACTTCAGGATATGACCTTATCACTGGAGAAATACTAAAACAATTGCCAAAAAAGAGTATAGTTAAACTAACATACTTATTTAATCCTGCAATCAGACTGAAATATGTTCCCAGCATCTGGAAATTCGCAGAAGTCTTTGTGTAAGGTCTTGGTTGAGATAAAAAAGTTTTAGTGTCATGAGCGGGATTCGAACCCGCGACCTTCGGCTCAATGCGCCGCTGCTCTAACCACTTGAGCTAGATGGTTCAAGCAGCGGCGTATTGAACCGAAGGTCATGTGTTCGAATCCTGCTCGTGACACTGACTTTTTCATCCCAACCAAATCCTTCCATAAAAAGAATAATTAATTGAAGTAAATAGTTATGTTAATTAGTTTAACCCAATTAATACCTACTCACATAAAGCGTAGTGCTATTCTTGTAGTGTTTTTATTTTTCAGTCGTCTGTTGACACTCAAAATAAAAATGTACTGAGGAAGAGGCGGAAAGAGCCTCGACATGCATCTACGTAGAAAGTAAAAAAAAATAGAAAAGCTTACGAAGTTTTTTTATTTCATATTTTTATTTTTTCCATATCTTGTAATGCACTGTATACATTCTATAAGAATATTATTTGACGATGGAATATACTTTGATAAGGATACTATTGTACTTTTTCCGTTTTTGCGGAGAATACGAGGTGTTAAGTGAAAAAATATGAATACAACTTGACCTGATGAGTCCACTACTATAGTGTAAACAGAATAAATAGTGGTATCAATGACCGGATAAACAGAAGCTTGCCAAATTTGTATTTGTTGACACCTGTGGAGTAGACTTGAGATGAACTGTTGTGATGGTCATGAAAGGTGGGGGCGTACTGGGAGGGGGCGGCTGGAGCGAGGTTCACCGGCAGTCGGACGCGTGAGTTTCATGGAGACGGGATGGAAAAGAGCGACAACGACTCAATGCTAGTCGAAGATTTGGAATACTTCGGATTGTTCAACGGGAGCCGGACGAGCGAGTTTTCCACCGAGGTCGAGACTGGGAACCGTACCCTGGCCGATGACATGCGGATGAACACGGTGTACACGATCTGCGAAGTGTCCGTCGGTTGTCTGGCCGTTGTGGGAAACACGCTCGTCATCCTTGCCTTCAAACGAGAAAAGAGACTCCGCCGGCTGACTAACTACTACATCGTATCACTGGCGATCGCGGATCTTCTCGTCGGCCTTCTCGGCATCCCTTGTGCACTTTTGTCCAAAGTCGGTTTGCCGAAGCAGCTCTACCTATGCCTGACGACTCTATCCCTTCTAGTCCTACTCTGCACCATATCGATATTTTCTCTAGTCGCTGTTTCCGTCGACAGGTACTGGGCAATTCTCTACCCAATGGCCTACGCAAGGAACGTCACGTCGAAAACAGCTATATGTAAGTAATTATGCTACTTTGTTAAAAGTGTTCACAGTAATCAATAAATGTAAACCATTTTGAATAAAACTATTCATTATTAACGTAAGGAATAATTGGAAGAAATTTGTCTTTTGAGTACTTGAAACTTAAAGTTGAAATGTTCCGTTTTTTAATATTTTTATGTCGCCGTTCTACTTGCTCCAATCATCTATGTAAATATATCATTTTACAGTATATATTATGTATTGTATAAGAAACTTGTATGTATAGAAAGATATCAAGGTTCATCAATAACCAAAAATGTTTACAATCCAAATATTTTTCAAATAGAATAGGTCATATAGATTTTTATTAAACTAATATGAAATATCATTTTAGCACCTATACAGACCCCTAAATTTGAATGTTTGTTTTAATTTAAAATGATCACTTTTTTGACCCTTAAATTTTTTCCGATTTTTGAGAATTCGTTTTCGGAATATCTTATCGAATCGGCTATAATCCAAAACCGGCTAAAATGATTTTAATGTCAAACAGACGATTTGAAAGGAGATGACCTTTTAACAACATGTAGAACATCAAAATATATAACTATTTCTATAAGAAAATAAACAAAATAGCAATATTATTTGTCAAAAATTAACCTCGTTTTTTAGATAGAAATACTTAACGTTTTTAATACTTGATACAATTGTAAAATGCAATTGACAATTTTTGTTAGAACGTATTTTTAACCATAAAAATTTGTTATCTAGATTTTGAGAAAAATGATGTTGCAGTTTGTACTAGGAATTACAGTCAGGTCGTCAAAGTTATCAGTCAAAAAATTAGAAAGCCGATGTCTAAGGATTTTATACCACTAGAATCGCTACAATGAGGTCAAATCCAAGTTCTGACCATTTTCAGACCTACTTTACTTACAGAATGTTTGTCAAAATGTGCAAAAAAAAGTATGTTTTATTTTTATAAATCATACCAAATTAGAATATCCCGCGTCGAGAAAATTGCGGAATTATCAAGTTAGTTCGATTTTATGAAAAATGGTAACAATCATTTAAAAAACGGTTCATAAAAACGTTCAATATACAGGGTTTCCAGAACTACTGAACCTCAAAAAAAAAAAAATATATTTTTCTTAGCATAAGCTCTATTTTCAAATATTGCAATAATTATAGGTTTTTCAATTTATGAAAACGTAAAAAATTAAAAATAGTGTTTTTAATTGGTATATTAGATTTCCATTTCAAGAATTGTTAAGCCAATTAGATTTTATGAAAAATGCTAACCAATTAAAAATCCCTTCATAAAACCGTTAGATATACAGGGTTTCAAACTTTTATTGTTCCCCTGGTTTTCTCAAAAACTACTTCACCTCGAAATAATTTTTTATAATTACTAAAAACAGTAGACATGGAATTTAAGTTTTTTAAAAATAGTAACCTACATTTCCAATTGTTTATTCATTAAGTCATTAAATTTGATAAAAAAATACGGTTCATAAAAACGTTCGATATACAGGATTTGAACTAACTAGTGCTCCGTAGTTTTCTCAAAAATGCAGGACCTGTGATAAAAAATAATATTTTTCCTAGCATAAGTTCTACTTTGAAAGATTCCAAAAGTTACTGGTTTTTTTCTCAGTTTAAAAAATTCGATTTTATGAAAATAGTCAAAATCATTGGAAAATCGGTAAAAACGTTACTTACAAACATTGTAAAATTTGCAGTTATTGTCAATTTTTTTAAGTTAAAAATCTAAATCTAAATTTTCATTTGCAGATTCATTAAATGGCGAAAAACAATTTAAAAATCAGTTTCTTAAAAAGCTTATCTACTACAAAAATAACACGTTAAATCAGAAACTGCAAAAAGAACATCACCGTTATTTTTAAGACAAAAATTAATTTTTCAGTTAAATAATTTAGATAACAAAAAAAATCAAAAACTAAAATAAGTTGATTGTTAAAAAAATGGTCAAAGTTTTTTCCTGTATATCGCAATACAACGAACTAATAATAACCAATTGTTAAGAAAACAATAAAAATTATATAAGTCTAATCTTGAATGTTTTGTAAAACCATTAATTCAGATTCATTCTATATAACGTTTGATTTTCTTTTTTTTAATTTTTTCTTNATATACATATAAATTAATAACTTAATGTTTAACATTCAAGATTATTAGAAAAAAAATTGGCGATTTTTGTAGACAATTATAGTGTTATTTTAGTAATATATACCTCTTTTGAACAGATTTTTAAATAGTTGTAGCTATTTTTCATAAAATTTAATGAACTTGATGAAAAATGAAATGGTGAAGGAAAACAAAACCTGTAATTATTGCATTGTTAGATAATAGAGAAATTCTCAAAAATACTGTTCATATTATGCGCGAAGATTGATTAGTTTTTGAAAAAAATCCAGGGACAATACAAGCATTTCTGACTAGACTCTTTAGTATCATTTGATTGCTACAACAAAATAAATTAATCGTTTGTTTGTAAAGTTATGAAAAAGCATTTGCTATAAATTTGCAGTCTTAAATCTTTCTTTCGACTGAATTATTATCACAGCACAAAAAAAAAATATTTAGGACGAACTAGAAATTTTGAACTGTTAAACACCATTCTAATCAAGAAAAACAGCCAAAAAGCTTGTTCTGCTAGATGGTGAGTTATTTACGAGCTAATTCAAAAGTTCGTTTTTAATTGAAATTGTAAAATTTGAATTCAAACATTTCACTCATTATTTATTTCAACTTTTGAAAAAAAAATTAATAAGGATACCTCTGGAGTCAACGGATCTCGCATTCGTTTTTTCTTAACCATCAAAATATAGTTCAATTAATTTTGCTTTGAGCTTTCTTACAAAGTCTTCTATTTTTGACATTTATCGTTTATGATGTTATTAATATCAATCTTAATATTACAATTATATATGAATAGCCACATATAACGTGAATTAAAAAAAACCACTTTTTTCGTACTGCTGAATAAAACTCAAAAATTTAATTGAACTAGTTAAATTAAACACATAATTTATAAAGGATGAAAGCGTTAATTTCAACTGTTATAAGTAGATTTCAAATTTTCTAACAGTGTAAACCATTAAAAATAATTCCAAGTCCTTATGAAGGAGATTATAAGCAAGTTAGCTTTTTCAAATTTGCCCTATTTCTTATATTTTAAATATAATCACTTATCATTCATTAGCATATTTTTGATTAATCATGTTTTGGTTCCGAAAAGCATTTCTTGTTTGTTAACGACTTCTTGTTTATAAACTCGAGGAAATTAGATTAAAGGATTATTTACTATTGATCAAATAAACAATAGCGCTGAGAACTTTTCTTCAAATTTTATGTAACAGTTGTTTTATTATTTTTTAGTATTAAATTAATATTGTTATGTTCTAATCTTTTTATGTTTGGTTCTTTGCCATTATGCCATGTGGATATGTTTTTCATTGCAAATTATTTTTGTTCTATACGTTGTATTATTTCTAATGAAGTAAGTAGTATTTCTAATGAATACATCTCTGGGTGGGACAAAGTGTTGTGCTTCATTCCTATTTGTATTAGCATTTATTTCGTTGGTAAGAAGTGAATTCGTAAAGTTATCTCATTTCTATCTTCTCCCATTTTGCCCGCCAAGCAAATCGAAAGTTAACCTGAATTACTGCATAAGCGGTGGTATGCTGATCGGCACGTGGTCTAAATTAATGTGAAAAACTAAATTCGTGTCGGTATGTAATGGGATAAGTGCCAGAAATTCAAAAAACAATTAAATAAATCACAATACCTATTTATTATGACAATTACTTTGAATTTTATGAAATGTGAAACCGATAGAAAATATTTATTAGGAAAAATTTTAATTGTACCCAAGATCTAATCATTAAAATTCAATACTGAAAAGAGTTGGGTTTTTTATTTTTCCACTTTTACCCAGAAGATATTTCACTATTCAGATTTTTTTTTTACCTTTCACAACTTTATTTCATAAAATCTTCCGTATCTCATAAACTAATAAACATAGTTTAAACTGATTACACAAATGGAATGAGCATAAGCTTTAATTATATTTAATTATATATATATATATAAATTGAATTAAACATTTATATATATATGATTTTATAGTAACCGTAATTTAACAAAATACAAAATCACTTGGAAGATAAACTTTTACAAGTTTCAAACTCCAAGAATAATTAGTCATTAAGATTTTAAAATTTTTATAAAAAATAATGAAAAACTTACATTGTAAACTAAAACCCCTCACTATTTGAACTAAGCAAAAATAAAAAGCACCGAAAAAAGGAAACGATGCCTGTCTTCTTACAAAATCGATTGTTTGGTTACTAACGGTTCAAAATAAATATTTATTAAGATTTTAAAACTTCTATAAAAAATGTATAATAAAAATAATACAAATCAAACAAAAAAGATTCTTTGATACGAAACATAAAAAACAAAACCATTCCAAAATTAAATTATATTGAACGTTTAATTTAATTTTGAGAATATTTTTATTTTTTATTCTGCTCAATTTTATAACAAAGTGTCTTTCTTTTTACTTTGTATTACTATAATCATTTTTTATAGAAGTCAAAACCTTAATTAGTAATTTTTAAAACCTTTTCTAATCGAAAATTCAATTTAGCAATTAAACGTGAATTTTACAGTGGTGATAACTGGCCTTTGAGAAATTCAGTGCATGTGTTTACATTTATCAACCTTTTCGGTAAGCAGCAAATCAAAAGAGAAAATCTTGCTTCAACTTTACACATGAACTTTTTAAACTCGTAAAAGTGTATGTTTTAAGTGATTTTATGCTCTGTATGCTTAAGGTTACAATTAAAAAAATAAACTCATATGGTTTTTCATGCTCTTTTCATTGGCGTAATCCATTTTCCCGTAAGAATAATATTTCATGAGATACGGGGACTTTATGGTATAGCGAAAGGTTCAAGTAACATGAAAAGTGTATCTCGGATAAAATTGAGAATAAGACTTTTG